ATTAGTATTTTCCATGTTGTGTATAGCCTGATATATCCCTTTTTAAATATAATTTTTGAGAGTTTTAATATTAAGAACATTGCAAATTAAGGTAGGATGAGAAAGAAAAAAGAGAAAGGGAGAAATAAAAAAAGCTAAGAGGAAGAAAAAGTAAGAGGAAGAAAAAGAAAAAGTAGAAAAAAGAAAATATAAAAAAGGTATAAATATACAATTATTTTTTAATCTCTGTCTCTTAAGGTTTCATCATGATTTTCTTCTTTCTATAGCCTATCCTGTCTAATCATCAAAATAATAAATCACATTCATTTTTATGCAAAAGTCCATGAGAGTTTAATCTGGTATTTCCTTAATTGTTCACAACTCATGTCAGCCACATCATTATTAATATAGCAATGTCTCTCAAATGTCAAATATACTTATTTTTATTAATTAATTAATACAATTATTCATTGTCTACTTCCAAAACAACTTGAACTGATTTATAATGCAAGGCAAAACAGCTATTACAATGATCAGCTAGTGAAACTAACTAAGCTAGCTGAAGTAGCATGAACAGCTGTGTGTTCATAATGATAAAAAACCATTATCTTTTTTCAATGCTTGGAAATTGGGAATATTCCTTATTTTGGAATATATATATAAATGATACACAGTAATGGGAGCCTTAAATGTAGGACAGATCATTTTTTTGTTCGTGTCAGGAATAGTTCTTGGAATAAAAGGACACCCCTCTCAATATGTAAAAGAGGTGGTGTGGGGGAGGAGGAGGAGAAATTTGTTTAACTGAACAGAAACCAATGTTCTGGCCTGCTGAATGGTTGAAGGACAATTTAATATATATTTTTCTATATTTTGGCAGAAATGAGCAAATAAAAGGACAAAACCAAATTCTTACTGTAAGATTTAAGGAAACAATAAGTTGTCAAGTGGATAGAAAAAATGCACAATCTTCTGTGATGAGGGGCGGGGGAATATACAGATATTTTTTAGCAAAAGGAACAGTGATAGATCTGCCAATTATTATCCTAAACAAAGGCCTTCACTTCTGCAAGGCTGGATAGATTTGGAAATTCAAATTAGAGATTACTCCAGAGTTTAAGATTATTTCTTTCACATTCACTATAAAAAAGAAAGGTATAGCAATTGTGTATGTCTGTGTATAATAATTATCCTTCTGACTGCTTCTTAAATAAGCAAGCGTACACCTTATTCTGGCTTTCCTACAACAAAGGTTAGCAAAGAAGGTAATAGAGGTTGATAAGCTTCCTTTGTTTATTAAAAAAAAAATAAGGAGTGCCATCTGCTTACCAAACATGTCTCCTCTTGACAGCTTAAATATTCTTTTTTTTAATGTTGCCCAAATTTTGCTGAGTCAGGGGATCATGGAAAAGGTACTTTAAAAATACCCACTTCTCTTCCAGTCTAGGATCCCTTTTGGAGCCATCCAGACTTGCTTGCTAATCAATTTGTATGTGAATGGCACTTTCACTACAGTAGATATATTTTCTTTCCTGATTTTATATATTCAATATATTTTGCTTCCTCCATTCTTTTACTTACACCCTTTCTGTGTATTCTATAATACTGCTTATACCAAAATGGAATTGTATGATGGGTATGCATGTGTACATATGCATGTATGTTTGTGTATATCTGTATTTGCATTTGTATGTCTCTATGTGTATATATGCAAAGCTATGTATAGTAGGAGAGTCTACAGTTAGTATAGTGAACTGCCCAAAGAAGGTCATGGATGCTGCTGATATAGAAGCTCTTCACAATATACACAGGTTTCCACCCCAATTCCAACACCCGAGACAGTAAAGTTGGAAAAATGATGGGCAGGGTCTGATGAGTGTCAAAGCCACTGTCCTGGATCAAATTCAGAACATCAGTAAGATGGTACCAAAAGATGAACTGCTGAGAGACTGACTGATATGGGAAGAAGATGTAGCAGAGGAAGTACATGGCAAGACTATACCCTTGATTTTGAGATGGTCTGTCAACAGATAGTTGAGGTGGTTGATACTGGTAAATCCTACCAGTAGCTGGAAAAGACTGGAGTAAAAGACAACACCGAAGCAGTGATCGTTACAGAACAAGAAGAGGCACTATGTACTGGATCCATAGAAAGAGAGGTCTACCATAGTAGACAGAACTCAAGGTGCAGACTATGCAGAGAGCCTCAGAAATAGTCCATTGCATAATGGCAGAGTGTAAGATACAGGCAGAAACAGCACTCGCTGAATGGCACAACAAAATAGCTGGCATTATGTACAAGCACATCAGTGCAATGTATGGTTAGATCCTTCCAAGTTCAGATGGGAGATTCCACAGAAGGGCATGGAAAATAACAGGGCTAAGATCCAGTGGGACTTCCAGTTTCAGACAGGCAAGTACTCACCAGTCACCCAGATAACATGATAGTAGACAAGGACTAGATGACAATTGTAGTGATAGATGTAGTGGTGCCAAGTGATAACAACATCAGGAGGAAAACTCATGAGAAGATAGTGAAGTACCTGGGCCTGGAGGAGAACTAGAGAGAATGTGGAAAGCAAAGGTCAAAGTGATCCCAGTAATGGTAGGATACTCAGCCTGTGATTCTTAAGGTGGGGGAATGATTCCAACAGATCCCAGAAACAACAAAAGAACATTCTGTCCAGAAGACATAAAAAAAATGCTGAGACTCTAGAAAGAGTGCAGAGAAGAGCAACCAAGTTGATTAGGGGACTGGAGCCTAAAACATAAGATGAACGGTTGCAGAAACTGGGCATGGCTGGTGTAGTGGAGAGAAGGACCAGGGGAGACATGATAGCAATGTTCTAATATTTGAGGGGCTGCTACAGAAAGGAAGGGGTCAGGCTATTTTCCAAAGCTCCTGAAGGCCAGACAAGGAATAATGGATGGAAACTGAACAAGGAAGGATCCAACCTGGAAATAAGGATAAACTTTCTGACAATGAGAGCAATCAACCAATGGAATAGCTTGCCTTTGTATGAGCTTTATCACTGGAATCTTTAAAGAAGAGATTGGACTGCCATTTGTCAGAAATGGTGTAGGGTCTCCTGCTTGAGGTGGGGTTGGACTAGATGACCTACAAGGCCCCTTCCAACTCTGTTTAATTTGTATCTGTAGAGGGCAGTGCTGGAAATAGCTAATATACTGTGCAGAACCATCAAAGTTCCAGGCCTCTGGTAAGGAACCTGAAATTGATTAGGAATTGAAAGGGAGTTTGTTTGTTTGTTTGTTTTATTACATGCCTACATACTGTATGTCAAGAGAGCCAACTGGCAGAATTCGATCACTGAACCATGAATGGTAATTATCCAAGCTAAATAAAAGGACAACTGCACCTCAGTCCAAAAGTGACTTGTATAGAGGGGTCACCAAACCTTTTCAGAATAACTGTTTAGTAACTACTGGATTTTAGTGTGATGGTTGACAAACTGGATGAAAATTTCTTAATGTGGGTGTGAGAAAAGCTGAACCAGCATCTCTTTTTAAGCCTTGAATAAGCACAAAATCCTTCAAAAGCCCATGGAAGGTATAACCAAACTACTTCTATCTATTTGATCACAGAATAGAGGTCGGAGACCAGAAGTAGTTATTTTTTCTTAGATTCTCATTAATTTGGAATCCTTATAGTTGTATGGCATAATTGAAGAAAAGCTCTATCATGTTATTTCTAATGAATTTCTACCTTGCACTTTCATTGGTTCGTATTATAGTCTGCTAAAAGAGTCCATGTTGGCTTTCTGTTTCCTTTGAAATATTGTAATTTTCTTTATTTATACTCATGAATCATGAACATTGGGCTTACAAAGTTCATCTTAGATTAATTTAATGTCATTTTTGTGCATGCAGCAAATGACCAATTGCATGGTAGGTGCCATTGAATTAGTATCAAAATAAAAATATGATAGATTTCTTCTGTAATAACACCACCAAAACATTTAGAGGATTGACATAAAGGGACTGAATGAAATCTAATAAACCAGATAGGCAAAATATGAGAAGTAAAAAAGAGGAAACTGAACAAAAACATTTTGTCAACAGAACTTGGTTATTTCTTAAAACAGGTGATAAAACAGCTATAATAGCAACTTTTCCATTATACTTTTATAACTCATATTTGAGGTTATGTCAACAGAAATAAATCAATTCCTCTATCTTCAACTGTCTGTTCCTATAGGAAGAGGATAATTTTGGTAATTTCTCCTAAATCCCACAAACATGATCAAAGTCATCTCATATATTCTTCTAGAAAATGGATGAACAAGCTGTGTTTTAAAGCTGTAAGCAGCTTAGGCTTAGGATACCTAAAGAGACTTTCATATGGAATTTTGTCGGTTTATTTTTATTTTTTTAAAAAACAGGCTTAATACTTTGTTTGTAATTGGTTAGAATATATGAGAGGGATTTCTCAACTGCGACATCTAATTTCAGGAACTTCTCTGCCTGCATACTGTCATTTCCTTAAGTTTATTTGAACAAACTTTTTATTTGCATGTTGATTAATTTTGAATTTTAGTTTGTGTTAGTGTTTAGATTTTTTTTCCTTTGGAAAATGAAAAACACAGCATATTTTGATGGGATGAAATTATGGAAATGTATCAGTAATGAACATACGTTATATTTTAGTCATAAAACTGCAGCAACTAATACTCTTTATGATTATAATTATAGCTTAAACTCAGAGTAATTATATAGCCAGACATAATAACGACAGAAATAAAATATATGAGATATAACTTATAAATGTTTTTTTTACTATATCCACTAAATAGATTGCACATAAAATAGTATTGCACTGGAGATATAATACAGATTTAGAATATTACCCTCTAGAAGACAACTTTTCTTTAGATATGTAAAAAGTATCATATAATGGATGTGTGTCTAACTAGTCTTGGCAATGTATCAAAACATTGAAAAACTTGATATCTCTTAGATGAGGTAAGGTCAAATAACATTTTCCCCTCTTTTTTTTCCCTAAGGGAAGAACTTTTGCAAGCTGGTGTACCAAAATATCCATATCCTGATTACCTTACACGTACTGATATGGAACTAAGGAGAATCATAAATGCTCAGGTAAGATTGGAGATTAAAATGTATATTTGCATTAATGCAACCACAAACTGATATCTTTTACCAGTATCAGTAAGTTTCAGGAACTCCTGAATTTTGGGAAATAAACTTGATATTTTTCAGGGGGAAATGTATTCTAACCAAGTTTTAACTATGTCATAACTATTTCACATATATATGAAGTTTTAATACATTTATGCATATTTTTAAGAATTGGAAAAGGTTGTCCCATTCTCAACCAATATAAAAACAAATTATTACCTTTTACAGGAGCGTAATAGAGATAATTTCACACCAATTAAGTCTAATATAACTATTCTCAAGACCATTTATTTCTTGACCTCTGTAAGGGCTGTGTCTGTCAGATATTGGGAAAACAGAAGGCTAAAGAGGATATTGTAAAATAGATTATGAAAGATCTATCCTTCCCTTCTTATGCATTATTTCATTGATTATACATACATCAAATTGGTGTTGACTCTTAAACACATAGAATTTCTTATGCATATACACTACTTATATCACAGCATAAGCAATTTGAAATGAATAGATGTACCTATGAATGAGCCATAGGGAACATTGTTTAGATATATGTTATTTACTTAAGCTACTTACACAGTTCTATCCCATTGAGAGGGGGGAATGTTGAGTGACTGTAGGTGCTATTTTAGGGTGCAGTCTGACTCTAGAATTAGTTTATATGACTTTGCTGGCCCATATTTTAGAAACTACCTACCAGCCAATGGGAAATTTGAACATTATTCTCTCAATTTTTAATGAAATGTCAGAAGGTTCAACTGATATACAACTCAAACTCACAGCATCAAGATAGTGCAGCTCAACATACAAACATTCAATTGTTTTACAAAGCCAGTTAATTAATATGTGAATGACAGTTTTTGCATATTTATAGAAAAATGCTGAAAATTACCTCAAAAAGTAGTCCCTGAAAATTATTATTCTCAATGTTCTCTTTTATTTATTGGAAACACTAGTTATATATTTATATAGTGCCATCATTGGAAGCTAGCATTTTATATTCAAATATTTTATATGCTTATATGGTAGTAGTCAATATCTGGTATGGAACTGGTATTAAAAGTACTATATGGTCATCAATATAAAACAGCAACTGATGAATGTCATAACATCAAAAATATTATATTAACTATTTTCAATCATGAAACCTAGTGAAATATTTGAACTTTGCTATTATATTTTCATTGCCGAATTCCTATATCAACATGGTAGAAAATTTAAACATTAATTGGAATTGAAAATATTTTAAATATTTGTTATAGTTTTATTTACATTCCCAATTTTATAATGATAATTATTGACTTCTACATATGTTTTATTGAAAATAGACCTATTCATATTATTTTGGGATCCATGAAATTATCTTTCTTTATAGAACCATGGAAACAGGAGAGCTGGAGGGCTAATTAAGAATAACAGATATATGCTCTGTTTTTAAATGTTTTCTTTTTGTTCAATAAATTTTTTAAAAAAGAATAACAGATATATGTATCATTAAAGAGATACTTGTTCTAACTTTTCATACTATACACAATACCTTCTGTTCAATTTGATAGTTTCAGATTTGTTTGAACTATGACAAATGTGTGATAAAGAAAGTGTGTGTGTGTGTTTGCACAGGTTTGTGCACCATGGTAAATTATTTATTTTTCATATCTTCTTAATGTTTCAGAGGCCTAATTTACACATAATTTCAGTGATAAAATAGATGAACCATTTCATGCTGTTTGTTCTCATACCTTCTTTATGATTATGCTTGCAAGAGAAAAAGAGGAAGGGAAACAATGAATGCAAATACAATTTTGTCACTGATTTGATGGCACATAACAAATCAACACATCTTCCCCATTAGTATTATAAATATTTACTAACCTCTCATGTGTTGGGTTCCGTTATAAACAAATACGGCCAATACAATCATCCTGATTGTGGAAGGAAATGTAGCCCTAGGTATGAGTAGCATGAATAAAGGCACATCCACTCATTGCCTTGCATATTTCCAAAAATCAGCTCTATCATCTATGGAGTCTCACAATATATTCTGTGTTTGACAACTGAGCTGGTTTATTTCCAACATAGCAGTAGCATATCCAGGATTACACTGAAGGTTATTTTCCATTAGGAATACTGAAACTCAGCTGAGTAAAGGACCATTTCCATCTCTTACTTCACTCTGACACTTGTTTTCAAGCCAGATTCTCTGACCTCTCTGTAGAAGTTCACTCATCAAATTTTGCAGTAGTTTCAAACTCAACCAAAGGATGGGTGCTGACTTTACAGACTCCCTTTGTTGTGCATGTGGATGCATGGGGAATCATCAAAAAAGCAAATGCAACATGAGCTGAAAATGTAGACAAGCTGGAACATTCATTGTGTTTCTGTATAGATTCTTTAGGGACAAAGCAATAATGTTGTTTACAGTATTTTGAGATTTACAAGAGTAATTGGATAATTTCAGATTGTTTTGGATGGATTGGAGTGTTGAGATGGTGGTGGTATGGAGGTACTGTTTCAATAAACATGGCCTTCATTCTTGCCATCTTTTGAAGAACTGTCCAGGGTTTCCCATCTTTCAAAAATGTTTAAAATCCATTATTAATGCTATTTCAGGACTAAATGAAGGAAATACATTATCTCACTGTATAAATTTTCAAAGCATTTTACTTCCTTTTCTAAAAAATCTCCATATTAGTCTTTACTCTTCTATTTGAATCTAATCTGTACTTTTTTCTTAACAATGAAATCATTATAGTTGTAGTTTTCCTTGACTATAGCCCTCAACACCTTTATTTACTTGCACATGCAATAGATATGATTGGTGCTATTTGTAAAAAGGTATTGGGCACCCATACATAGACACACTTGGTTGGAATGATCAGTGAAATAGTACAGTTTTACAGAAATAGTGTACATCAATGTTTTTCAAACCTGGCAACTTTAAGATGTCTTTGCTTCTTTTTCTCTCTCTTATGGTTTCACCTCATGTCCTCCATATATGTAAAGCTCATAGTTCTTAGCTTTCACTTCAGTCTCAAGTGCTGAATACATACATGCCTCTTGGATCTTCTCCCACCATTTGCATTCTAACGTTTTCTACTTCCATAAAGAAAGATGGCTTTGTGAAATATTTTATCATATTAATTTACCTGCTAATACTTTTGTACTTGTTTAGAAATTGCTTATAGCATTCAGGAAAGTCTAATGTTTAGTAGCTTGCCTTATCTTTAAGGTCATTTTATCAGGAAGGAGATGGAGGAGCAAAGGGATACATACATGTGGGTAAACATAACTGTGTTATGTTTACATACATATAACTAACTCTATTAACTGACTAGTCCTACTCAGAGTCAATTTGTGAGATTTTTATATATTAACAGTGGAATGATATACCTTGAACTATAATGCACAAAGGGAAACACATATTTGATCATGATACTGGATAATAAACAATAGGTGCCTTTCTAAGCATTAGAAGTTATCAGATTAAAGTGTCTTTGGGAAAGTTATCGGCTCTCACTGTCTAATGAATATTTCTCAGTTGGTATAACAAAATAGGAATTGGGATTTTTTTTCAGAATTATAGAGATTATTATTACTACAGTAATTATAAGCCATACCAGAGAAAAGGTGAAACTAGTATTACAATATATATTATTATTTCACAGAAAACATTTTCTCTTCTCAAATCCACTGTTATCTTTTCCCTGCTTTCTGAACATTTTTAATGTCACCACCTATACATTATATAAACCCATTCTCATTTAATAATGTATTCTAAAGTTTGATAAAGTACTACAGCCACACCTTGGTCATTTCTAATATTTAGGATAATGACATGGGAACATCAAAATAGTGATTGCTTCTCAGCAAACATTTACTTCCGCCCCCATACTCCAAAACAGCCCATTTAGTCTGGAATATGATAAAATAATGCATTCAAATACAGTTAATTATTGAGTATGTTCATTGAGGAATCATGAGCTGGAAAACAGCATGCTTGCTAGTTCATAGGGAGTAAATGCGTTACATTTATTTTGTGATGTTGACAGCATGCAAGCTGTGTATATCTTCTTCTTTCAGGTAATAAGGGCAAACATATTGGGGAAGCAGAATAATTCTATTTTAACAGTTTCCCAAATGTTTAGTATTGTTGGCTCCAGGGAGTTCAGTTTTAAAATAAAATGATAATGAAGATGATATGAAGTCGTATGTGAAAATGTAGTGTATGTTTGATCCTTATACCTGTTCTTCAAATGTTTGTTTCACAAGTTGTCAGTCAATTAAGCAATATCTTAAGAGTTACAAGAGTCTTAGCCTCATGAGTTTAACTAATTGCATCTAAAGAATTGCTTACTCTCTATACCAGGGCTGTCAAGCTTGCGGCTGGCCATGTCCCCTCCCAGCTTTAGTGAAGGGTGAAAAAGTCCCGATACATCACGTGATGATGCTGTGATGCTGTGAATTTGACACCCCTGCTCTATATACTACATAATACCATCTCCTGCTTTTAAAATGTCACCATCTCTAATCCTGCTAATATCCATTTCCTAATTTCTTATCTATTATTGCACTATCTGGTGAATGATTAAACCAAAGTTTTGTGTTTTTATGTAATGCTAAAATCTTTATTAAGTAACATTATATTTGTTTTTTATTTATTTGCAACAGTGGGAAAGGGAATTGCAAATCAGGCTTCAGCTAGAAGAGAAACTCCAAGAATTAGAGCTTCAAGCAAAGCAAAAATTGGAAGAGGAGCACTTCAGGCAAATAATGATATGGCGCCTAGAAAAGCTTCACAAGACAACCAAGCCATATGAACTGCCCTTTAAACACGAAGACACAAAAACAACAGAAGCAAGCAGTAGCACTCAGCTGTCAGATGTATAACTGTCAGAAACATGGAAACCAGCTGTGTAAGAAGATAACTACACCTTAAAGGCAAATAAATGTATTAAAGCTTCTTTTCCCCTATCACACTCTTTTTTTTTTTAGTTAAAGCTCTGCAATACTGAGTAATGAAGTCTGGATAAGAAAGTGCTAAAGCCATAATTGCTGCTGTATTGCTGATTGCAGTTGCTTCTCCAACAGTTTTTCATTGTGATGTTCCACATGTGTGTTTATAAGAATAAAAATACACCAGAAATCCTATGAGGGTAGTTAGACCAGCTTAAGAGTGTTTTTGCATATAAACACAGAAGATGAGGAAAAGGTGAGGCACTGCCTCCCATCTTAGTAAGGCAACTCAGCAAGATAGTTTCCAGGGCCTGCTTTTCAATAAGAACATTCACAGTCTTCAGTTTCATAACACTGATATGTAACGATTAATTGAATTGTCTCCCATGAAATAGTGTGTTTATGGGGAATCATTTTCTGAAACTTGTTTATGGGGAATAATACATTTCTGAAACTTGTGTTTCTGGAGTACCCCACACCTTTGTTTTTGTTATTGTTTTGGCATCGTCAGTATTCTAAACAACATCAAGAAAACCACCTGAAAATCGCATAGTAGTATTTTTATCTAATGGTCTCTCTGATGCCGTTCCGAATCTTACATTCTCTCATTTCTTTTTACCTACGCAAAGCCTTTCCTTCCTCTCTATATAATTGTGCTATCAATTTTGCCAGACTGCTTTCTTTTTATTTGTGGATGTTTTATGCATTTATTTATCCACATTTGTATGCTGCCTGTTCAAGCAACCCAAGACATATTCTCTAATGTATAAACCTGTTGAAAGCAATACTATGTCTTCTTGGTGTTCATTTTTAAATAACTCTTTTTTATATTTAATTTCTGTGAATACATTTGAGGTGATTTTTGGACAAATTATCATGTTGCTCTAAAGCTTCTCACAACTTATAGTTCTACATTACAAATTATTTTAGCTACAGTATGCCATAGTATTTCTTCCAGGTATTTTAGCCATAGTACATGCCATTGTGCGATCATACATAGAACAAAAACCTGTAGTTCCAGGATATATATTGGAAAGCTCACAAAGTTTTTGCATCATGTTTCTTCTTGAGTGTGTCTGTAAAAGAGAATCCTGTCAATCTCCAGTTTCATTTTTTCAGAAATATCTAGAGTGATCTTTACAGAAGATGAGTGAGGCAGAATAGTAAAATGTGCCATACCTCTTGACAAATATGGCATTATCCTTGTTTTCCTCAACTGGATTTTGCAGCTTTATCTTGATAAATAGGTGTCAAGAGACAATCCTGAGTATAACAAGAATAATAAAAGCTGTATAGTTGTTCCATATACATTTCCACTGAACCTACATTTGTATTCTATCAGTGTGGTCTTTACTATTGAAACAAGGTATCTTGAATGGGCAGATGTAATATTCTTCTGATTTTATTCACAGGAATGATGTTATAGTACATTGTATACTTATGTATAAGCCAAGAATTTTAGGTGCCAAAATACACACCCAAAATTGGGTTTGGCTTATCTATGGATAGCTTATCCACAAATATATACAGTAATATTTTTAAAAGGACATGTATTTCTTGCATATACTTATGGATAACCCCATCTGATGACCCACAAACTTTTAACCATTAAAAATGCATAACAGGAGGATTAATCATGGGTAAGCCAATTGTGAAAATTAAAACATAGAAAAGTTTTGAGGGTCGGCTTATCTTCATGTAGGCTTATCTGCGTGGTGAATTCATTCACACCGTCTGATTGTCAAATTCCATGACTGAGGTATCAATCAATTTTTATTCAGTTATTGACCAGCAAATAAAATTAAAAAATAATAATTATTTAGAATGAAAAAAGAAAAAAAATTAAAATACCTAGGAGAAATACCATGGTATACTGTACCAACTATAGAACAGTACTTAGTTATGGTCCAAGAAATAAAACCAGATTGATCTGATAATAACAAGACAGAATGACCAGGATATTTTACTAAGGAATGGAGATAATTCCTGGTGAGTATCTGTATAGAGGAAACAATACAAAATAATGTGTTATATTGTTTCAATTATTCCTCCACCACAAGGACACAGTCTTTATTCAAAAGATATTTTTCAGTATTTCCCTTCAATAACTGGGGAGGGCATTGAATCTGGTCAAGGATAGGGCCCTTCTAAATTTTGGAATTCTTATGTGACTTGAGATATCTGGCTGTTGGTATGCGACTAGCTTAGGAAGATGTTTCTAGGTAGAATAGGTAAAATTGCTTGCAGCTCTAAATCAGTGACCTGCTTTTCATAGGTCATCAGGGTGGTGGTTAGTCACAAGAAGCCACAAAGTTGCAGATTGGCATGTATGGCTTTGTGTCAGGAAGGCTGAAAGCTATCGTCATAATTAGAGGAGCCAAGCACTCTGAAAAAATTGATTCCTTAAACCAATAGAAGAAAATGAAAATACCTGGCAGAAGTTGCTACTTTAAGTAACCAGCTCCACTGCAAAACACCACATTCGGAACACAGCAATGTACTTGAAAAATCAATCTCAAGAATTTGGATTGAACTCTTTCAAAAGGAAAAAAAATCTGCAGGGGCCCAGCTGAACTCCAAAAAGAAGCTGGGCTTGGATCCTAGCCAAGAAGACTTCAATGGCTGCAAGTATATTCTGAGTTTCTTTGGAGAAGTAGAACGTTTTTAAAGCCAATGCTGGGTTTTGTGCATTTAGGTTAACATCAGCAGCATGAAATTTTTGGTTGCCCACAGCATGCAAAGCAGACCCCAGATACTTAAACGTCTTGACTTGCTCTATTGAGTGATTACTTAGCTACTAAACATGTGCCTTAAAGTGCTTAGCAAAAACTATGACCTTGGTTTTGGAGTAATTAATTTCTAGTCAGTGTTCTTGACAGTGCTCAGCAAGTATATAAAGAGCCTGTTTCAGGCCAATTTGTATTTGAGAAAGCACAGTGTCATCTGCCTATAAAAGAACAGATATGTGTCTATTTCCTAACTTTGCTGGATGAAGAGATCCATTTTTTTTCATGGGAAGAGATGAACTAGTCACGTACTTCAACAAAAAATCAACCTTTGAGAACTTTAGCTTTTGTACATAATTTTTTATAATCCATTATTTTCTCCCCAAATTTGGTAAGTATGTGTGATATACTAAATTTGGCCATCAAAGTTATACATTTTTGTGAGTAGCATTTTAAATATAACCCTGTTATAACCCCATCAAAGTTATACATTTTGTGAGTAGCATTTTAAATATAACCCTGTTTTTTGCTTCTGTTTATATGGATTTGGAAGCAGATCATAAACTATATTTGTTTCATACAATAGCTTTCCAAAATAATGCTTTTGGGATTAGTTGATCTTAAGGATGAAGTAGAATTTGTCCTCAAGCAACATAAGAAATTGGGGTTATATTTTGCTCTGCAGTCCAAAATTGCCAATTTTCATTGGCACATTTAGTAGACAGTTTTGATTCTCTGAACAACCTCAGTATAAAGCTGCCAAGAAACAATCATATCACCATGCCATTAAAGCATTCACCCCCCCAAAAGAAATGGTTTCTGAAACATTGGAAACAAACTGAGATACCTAACTTTTTATCTTTTTCAACATTTTAATCATTCACTGAATATTGTAAAGGGAATGTGAAATACAATTTTGCATTTCAACTCAACTCTCTCCCAGTTGCATTCATCCACTATTTTCCAAATAGCTTTTCTGGCAACACTCTTCATAAATTAGTATGTAATCTCTTCAGGATTGATGTTGATACATTGCCAGGCATATTACTAGAGGAACTACTCAGTAGAAATAATAATTTCACTGAAAAAGATAATTTGGATAACATATTTCTCAATTTGGATGAAAAAGACAAAATATTTTTTTTTTCTTTTAGAAAATTGTTTTAAAAATAAAACTTAAACAAAGGAATTGAACATATTTCAAAGCTGATCTGTGTTGTCCACTTTCTGCAGTCTAGAATTCTCAGCTCATAAAGAAAAAGAATGAAAATTTCCCCCGTTGTATCTATCCTACTGATATTTTTAAATGTTATATTTTTGATAAAAGAAAAATATTTACACTTATTTTTAAAAAATTAAATATGTATCAAGTATGTGTTTTTATTTCTATTTATTATTATGAATGGATTGTGAAGATTAAAAGGGGATTAGTTTAAATGAAAGTTTAGAATGAAGGTTTCAAAAAAATTAAAGCAAGCATGATGCTGCAAAGTTTGGGGAGCTCCTGATTTAGACCAATTGAACCAAGCCTAGGACAGGATTGCAAAAAGTGGATTAACAACATCCTTTTTGTGGCCCACAGAACCTTGCAGAATTGGCATACCTAAACATGTAAGCTCATTGTATGCATATTTGGGGATTGTACATGGTTTAATTGTCTTAAATACTGCAGAATTTGAAAACACTGAATTTCTTCATACCGAACACTGAGTCTTGGCCCACTAGAAAATAGAAAGAGGCCTCACTTGGCCCTTTGACATGCTATGTAAAACCAGATGTACACATGAGCCAAAGGAATTAGTGCATCCTTACCAAGTGTTAACAGACTTGATATCTTTGTGTTGGGATGTATTATTTTACCCCCTAGCATAACCAGATGCTTTATATGTATAAACATCCCCTCTATTTTAATCAGGATTTATTTATTTTTTATTTATTTTGTCAAGCATGCATTTGATAATATATATAAATGTGAACATGATTATTAATACATGAAATAGATACAAATAAAAGGCAACATTAAGACAGGGATGGTAGGCACGTTGGTGTGCTTATGCACACCCCTTACAGACCTCTTAGGAATGGGGTGAGATCAACAGTAGACAGTCTGAGGTAAAGTGTTTGGGGTTAGTGGAAGAAACCACAGAGTCCGGTAGAGTATTCCAGGCATTGACCACCCTGTTGCTGAAGTCGTATTTCCTGCAATCTTATTGCACTGTTATTGTGCAGTTTACCCTGAGTTTGTATCTATTGTGTGCTTGTGTATTGTTGAGGTTGAAGCTGAAGTAGTCATTGACGGGTAGGACATTGTAATTGACAATTTTATGTTCTACACTTAGGTCAGACTGAAGGAGACATAGTTCTAAGCTATCTAAGCCTAAAATTTGAAGTCTAGAAGCATAGGATATTCTGTTGAGAGTAGAGGAGTGGAGCACTGGTGGTATTCTACTGGTTTGGCCCAGTTCTGCCAAGCTGGTAGCAGTGATGAGCAGCAGAGACAGACCGCTTCTGTCCGCCG